AAGAATCAAAGCAGTGGGTGAATTCTTCTTCAGGCATTATACTGCAGTTGCATTTGAATTAATGTTAGCCAACTTCAGCTGATTTTGAAAAAGCTAGCAGACATGGAGACATGTCTCCCACCCACCCACTCACTCACTCACTCACTCACTTTTAAAGCACTACTTTAAAAGCAGCCCCTTCCCTACTCGCCCACTGGCCCTGGATCACATGGCTGTGAAAAATATCTGAAAAGCTGTTTTTAAAGCACCTTTAAAGCACTTTTAAAGACTTTTAACATACTACTTTACAAGCTGGCAGCTGCTTTTCACCCCACCACTCCACGGGCCGGATACTTTGCATTGGCGGGCCATATCCGGCCTGCGGGCCATAGTTTGAGGATACCTGTCTTAGAGGTTCTTTGGTTGGGCTTGTTTGGCAGTTTCTTGTTTAGTTGATCATTGGTCTGATGTTAATTGTGGAGTTAATCTATGGCAGGGGTGTCAAACTCAATTTCATTGAGGACCGCATCAGGGTTGTGTTTGACCTCGGAGGGCCGGGCGGGGGGCATGCCTGGGGGGGTGGGCATGGTGTGCATGGCATGGGACTTGGGGGGACTTGGTATCTGTGGTGGCCAAGTGCTAAGGCAGGACTTCCCTGAGACCCTCCCTCACTTTCATTATACAGCTAATCGAGTTACGAATGTAATAGAGCCTGCCAATTAGGTGGCGCAGTGGTTAAATGCAGCACTGCAGACTACTTCAGCTGACTGCAGTTCGGCTGTTCAAATCTCACTGGCTCAGGGTTGACTCAGCCTTCCATCCTTCCGAGGTGCGTAAAATGAGGACCCGGATTGTTGTTGGGGGCAATATGCTGACTCTGTAAACCGCTTAGAGAGGGCTGAAAACCCTATGAAGCGGCATATAAGTCTAATTGCTATTGCTAACCAATATTTTGTTGTTGTTAGTTGCGAAGTCGTGTCCAACCCATTATGACCCCATGTTCCTCCAGGCCTTCCTGTCCTCTACCATCCTCTGGAGTCCATTNTGTCGTTATCACATGTAATATTGATTATGTAAAGAAAAGGAGGCACTTTTGTTGCTAGATCATTATAATACATTTAAGTCCTTGGGTTTACCAGCCACCCTCCCTCCTTTTTCTCAGTCTTAGAAAACTGAGTATGCACTATTGGGAATGTAGTTAATACCAAAAATACATATATCAACCATTCAGATTAAATATCTCAGAAACATTTCAAATGCATTTTTTTTTCTGCAATCTGTCAGCCATATGAGCAACTTGAAAAGGTGAGAAATGTAATAAAAGTATTTTCTATGGGCCTTGTTGAAACTTGCATTATAGTTTTAGCTGTTGGGGAGGAGGGGGGAATGGCCTTTGGTGTAATTTGCACTGAAACTCAGTTTTGCTGTATAGCAACTAAATGGTACTAATCCATATTGCAAACTTTGCTTTGCAGGAGCGCCGGGAGCGTGAGCAGCAGGATCTAGAATTTGCCAAGGAAATGGCAGAGGATGATGATGATGATGGTTTCCCTTGATGCTCTATGGGGGTGGCACATTTGTTTGTGGGTTTTTTTGTTTGTTCACCAATACAAAACCTTATCGTCTGAAAACCAGAACCTGCCTTCTTTCCATATTCTGCATGTTGGGGGCAGTACCCCAAAAATCCTCTAGCTGCTGCAGGAAGATGACATAGGACCTCAAATTAAAGGGTTGATCCTTGCTTCTGAACTAAAGGTCACTGTGGTTTTCAGTCATAACTATTCCCTTACAAAGGGCCAGACTAATCCATTGTCCTTACTGGAGTTCTGCTCCAGCTGGCAAAGTAATTTCAGTGACAAATCTTTGTCAAATTTTGTTTAGGACTTTTAAATAAAAGTTTGAGGAAAATAAATTGTCTCTTGTATGGAATATTAAATAGAACTCATGTTTACTCAGCTCTAACAGTAGAGCCACTAGAAATATGGGAGTTCAAGCTCTATTTTTTCCCCTGATTGATGTCTAAAAATATGCTGTTTGACAATAAATCATGTTACAGGGAATGGAATACAGTACAACCTGAACGCCCTTTGAAATTATTACAGAAACAAATTAGTAATGGAAGAAAACATGATTCTTAAAATAAAAATAGAGAAAGAGATTCTCCTATTTTGAATAACTGTCCCAAACAACAAAAATAATATGCAAGGACAAGAAGAATCTGGCTGTCAGATAACCCACTCAGTGAAATACTGTGGTCTGCATGTGACAGATAATAATCAAGAAATATATTAAAATAACTGCCAAATTATGGCAAGAAATCAAACGAGATCTTGAAAGGTGGAGACATTTAAGACCATCCTTGGTTAGGATCAGCTACAATTATCAACATTCATTTGTTCATTCAAAATGCATTACCAGAGATAAATTATGCCCAAGATATAATACCCAAGATAAATTAGGGGTCCTTGGTACTCTCTGAGCTTGGTTGTTTTCTTGCAGGCATTTCATTACCGAAACTAGGTAACATCAGTGCTAGTAAGGAGTGGGGTTTGTTCTCAGTTTATATTCTAGAGGTAACTGTCAGTGTTGGTGGGGGTGGTCTTAGAGCAGGGGTCCTCAAACTTTTTGAACGGGGGGCCGATTCATGGTCCCTCAAACTGTTGGGCCAGATCAGCTGGGTGGGTGTGGTCATGTGAATGGGTGGGTGTGGCCAATTTAGCAATCCATTTTGCCTTTGCCATTTTGCTGTACTTGCTCAACCCAAGGAATCTATTTACTTAAGAGACACCCCCCCCCCCCGTAAATAAAACAA